CCTGGTACCCTGACCCCCCCCCCAAAAAAAAAAAAATCAGAGGCAGGGGCATGCTTCTGGTCTTGGCCAAAAGGTTCAGCATGGTGGGAAGGGCTGGGCGGGGTGCCTAAGCTCACCCACCCCCAGGGCTTTCTGCTGCTCCCTAGGCTCACCTTCCCCCGTTCCCTGGGCAGGTAGTTGCCCGTGCCACTCACCTGGTTGGTGGAGTGGGGGGAACACATGAACTGCCTGCCAGAGGGCAAGTCTCAGCACAGGACAGTTACTACAGCATGACCTGCCGACGCTGAGCCTCTTCCCTTCTCGGGGCTTCGGGCCTGGAGAGGTCTAGCTTCCTAACACTCAGCATCCCAGGGCTCCGCTTGCCCTCCACCCCCAGACTGGAAGAGGCCCGCCCTGCCCTTCCCCGCCTGCGGATGCTCTCATCTCGGTCTCCATCCCTGCCCACACAGATGTTTGGCAAAGCCAAGTTCAGTGTGCTGGGGAAGCTCTTGAGGAGGCTGTCTCTAAGAACTGATTAATTAGGAGCCGGGACTGCCTGTACCTCGAGAGCTCCACTGGGCTCTTGACTCAGAGCGTTTCATAATGCTGGACCAGGGCAGATTCTAGGTCCGAAATCATGGCCCTGGTACATCAGTTTCTAAGAACTGACAGCTACACACAACCCTTGCCTCTTGAAGTCCCCGGCACAAATTAACTTTGACCAAGAATGAAATAAGAACTGAAAGGTCAGAACAAATTACCTTTTGAATCTGTGCCTTAGTGGGGGCAAAAAAAAAAAAGAACAGCTCTGTTCTAGGATAGACATGTTCCTCTGGGTAATAAAGGGTACTTTCCTCCTGACGGGTCTCACCCTTTCTCCCCACCGCAGCACTGGGACTCAAATCCAAGGCCTCCTGCATGCTAGGCAAGTGCTCTGCCACTGAGAAACATCGCCAGCCCTGTTGATTCTTTTAACATGGGCCTTTGGGCTCCAGGTCAGGCTGTGGGGTCAGAAGAGTGCAGCCAGGGAACACCCTCTGGTGCAAATAGAGGAATATTTCCCGTTATCCACCAACCACTTACTGATTAGAATCCCCAAGTTACAAAATGAACTCATTTCCACAAAAGAAGAAAATGGCACCACTTAAAACTGCACCACTTTGCAAGATCAATTATGAGTGGTAGTTTTAAGAACAGGAAGATGCAAACTACCATATTACTGTGTTACCATGTCTGGAATAGTTCTTCAAAGGGAGCCATTAGCAAATTATTACAAAACACTTAGAGGGCATAATGTGTTCTGTGCATGATAATACAAGTCCTCTCAATGCTGCCTGTCCGCAGCTAAATAGAATCTTCCAGCAATTGCACTTCAAAGCAAACATCTTTCTGGACTCAACTCTGTTCATTTCCCACTGGACTCCTGGAAGGAAGGGGCTGTGGTAGGGTTTGTCACAGTGCTCCCATGCCTGGCTGATGGAAATGGCTCTATCACTGCATACTGAATCAGGGCATTAAACAACAGAAAGAATCTTAAAATGTTCTTTTCAGATTTTCCTATCATATTGTATGAATCATTGACATGACAAGCTTTGCAATGGCTCATCCAAAAGTTTCAGCATTCAATAAACAGAAATGAGACTCCTGGGGAAAGATCAAGTTCTGGTTATTCAACTTCTTTCAACTCTGCCTGATAGCAAGTCAGTTCGATTTCATTCTGTTTGGAAAAGGCTGACAGAGAAATAGAACCTAAGGCAGAGCTGTCTTAACCACGCCAGGACTTAACTGAGGTCCTCGGCAGGCCTTCGCTTATGAATTAGACCCAAATGCAATCAGAAATTCCTTCTCTGACATGGCGTCCAAGGGACCCATGCCTCTTCATGCTCCTGTTTGAACTGGTCCTGCACGGTGAGTCCATGGGTCACCAACGATCATTCCCAATAAGTCCCATTAGCAGCTACATTAGCTCAACAAACGTCTCGGTAAACGAAAGCCGCTCTGTAATTTGAACAAATAGTCAGCTTTTGCAGGATTTACGCTCATTGGTTCCTTAATTGAATAATGTGTCAACATAACAAAATGCTTGCCTCCTGCCATCTCAGGGAAGCCGACTCTCCCCCTGGACTAAATGTTCCACTTCCTGAGGCTCCTGGAATAGGCGGAGGAGGTGGGGCACCCAGACTCGGTGGGGCTTCCTTTAAACTAGTGAGATGGTGCTTGGTCCTCAAGTTTTCTGTTTAGGACTGTGGGGGAAAGCAGAGGTACTGAGACAAGGAAGATCAGGGATACTAAGTGACTTCAGAGTCTGCCGGAAATGAAAAGTCCACAGTGATCCACCAACGTCAAGTTAAGAAGTCGGTGACACATTCAGATTCAGAAAAGTCCAATCTCAGCACCTTTGTCAAGAACACTGAAGACGGAGGATCCTGTGGCCCCCTCCAACATGAAGCTGAGGGAGAGTCTCTTGTCAACTCTTAAAGCTTTGTCCAGTCCCTTGACCCACAGAGTAAAGAGAGGCACTTGGTAGTCACCATGCTGAGAGGATTTAACATGAGTTCACTTTTGGGTGGGATATAAAAACTTCCAAGTCCCCCCTCCCCATAGTTCAGCTGAGAAAAAAAATCTGCCAAATGCTTTCCCCCATGATCCCAATGTACCAGAAGCCAAGCAGAGGGAGGAGTGACTGTTACTATGTAAACGGTTCTATGACAAACTAGAGCCAAAACCATCAGATAAATACAAAGCCAATTAGAACCCCGGGAGGAGGCTCCCTTGGCCTAATTCAAGAGCCTGTTTGAAAAGTAGCAACAGAATAACAATCACCAAAGGGCCCTTTCCTTCAGTTACTCTCCTGTTGACATTCCTCAATTCTAAAAAGTCAAGAGAAATAAACTCTTCATCACCAGTTCTCCCCTACAAACACTACGCCCCCCCCAAAAAAAATACCCCTGAAAAACACAGGCTTTCACACGAGGAAGTGGGTACCCTGGGCCCATAACTGTGTTCCTAAGAGGGACGCTAAAAAGCAGAAGTCACTTTAAGTTCAAAATACCAAGAAAAAATATGAAGACAAGAGCCTAATTTTAGTGATATTCTGTACCCCTCCCCCCAAAAGAAACGGCTCAGGAGTTGAGATTAACTGGTGTTATATATAGAAACCCTATATATTGAAGACTCCCTGGTCTTTTTGGAAAGGCAGGAGAAAAAGAAATTAAGCATCTTTATAACACATTCACAGAAATGTATATTGTTGTTGATGATGCTGTTTTATTGAAATCTAGGTTTGGGGCAGGGGGAGCTTGTTCTCTAATTTCACATTTGCCAGAAACATTAAACAGCCCTGATTCCCCATCAGCTTCAGCTATGTTCAGCTCTAGGAGTATCCGGCTCACAGCACTTGACGTAGCTTATCAAGAGCAACACACCCTACAAGCCAAAAATACCCAGCAAGCACGTCTTCATTTACACCATCTGACTTTTCAAAGCAAATAACTCAAAGGGATCCACGTCTTCTGGGTCACGGGGCTCATGAGTGCACTTGGAAACCCACCATCTGGTGATTAGGGACCATCAAAAGAGTTTGCTAGTTTCTTAGGTCAGGTCACGGTTCAGCTCTTACACCTTACACTTGAAGGACTGGTGATTTCGAAGGGAGAACAGCCGAGATCCCAGCACTTTACAGAATTGCGTGGGTTCTGCTCCATCTTACAGACGATGCCTCTTTTCACCAGTGATTTCACCAGCAAGAGCTATTCTGCACCAAGGAGTCACAACTCACCATGCTGTTCCTCGGGAAAGAGGCTGGGGAGATAGATTCCCTATTAACCTGGCGCACAATCTCTTCTGGACTACTGCTAATAACATGAACTAGGAAAACACCAAAAGTAAACCAATCATAGTAGAATCAGTAATAAATCACTTGAGATAAGATGACTTTGCATGGACTTCACCAAGTGGGTAGCCAATTCAACAGGACCCCTCCTAGCTAATTTAACAACAAATTCCTCTCTGGCATCACCCATTCCATTTGCATTTTTAAGCGGATCCCATTTCAACCTTTTTTTAAAAAAGAGATTCTTTTATTTTTTCTTAAATGGGCCTTTACTTTGTTCATTTATTTATGTGTGGTGCTGAGAATTGAACCCAGTGCCTCACACATGCCAAGCAAGCACTCTACCACTGAGCCACAACCCCAGGTCCCCATTTCAACCTTTTTAAGAAAGTGCCACCAGGAGACGTGTTAAGAAAACCAGCTCAGGTGACACAATACCAAAAGAGAACGTTGAGTAGGTCAAAATACACTCATTCCTGCCTGGGGCAAGACAGAGGAACAGGGGGCAGGGAGCTGAGTAGACAGATGGACCTCCAGAGGGGCTGAGGCTGAAAACCACAGTTTGAATACCTGGGACAAAAGGCGACCAGCCTGCACTCTTTAGCTAAAGCGCGCAGAGGGGGCGCAGGGAAGGATGGAGTTGGAAAGGAGGGCAGCAGGCACCAGGGAAGGAAAGAGCAGGATGGCTTGATGGAATGACAAGCGTGTGGCAGAGGGATCCCTAAGGATGGGGCTTAAGGGGAGAACAAGGGTGGGACAGATGCGGTGACAGAAATGGGCTAGAATGGGGACAGGGATAGGACAAGAAGAGAATCGGGCAGAACCCTAAGCACGGGGCTAAAAAGGCGGCCAGGAAAAGGAGGACGGCCAGGCGGCAGGCTGGGGCAGGAGTGGGTGGCAGGGATGGAGCGGGTCCGCCAAGTCACAACCGCGTCCTGGCCAGCTTCTGCTGGGGCGCTGGCTGCGCGGGGCGCACTTTGGAGCGCTCTCTCCTCGCGTCCCCCAACAGCGCTCCGCAGCCCCATTTCAGGGAGCGGCAGGACGAGGCTGGCCCCGCAGCGCCCGCTCCCGGAGGTCAGCGGCCGGCCCCGGGCAGCGGCCACTGAGCGCCCGCCCCTCCCGGACGCAGGGGGTCGCTGGCGGCCCCGGGGCGGCGGCGCGGGGCCGCGCGGGCGCGGGGAGCCGGTACCTGGGCTCGGGCAGCACGATCTTCTTGCTGGCGCGGGCTGCCGGGGTGGCCTTGCTCTTCTCCATGGCCATCAGGTAGCTGACATCGGCCAGCACGGCCTCCAGGTCCGCCATGTTGGCGAGCGGCGGCGGCGGCGGCTCCTGGGCACCGGGACGGGACGCGCTCCCGCCGCCGCCGCCCGCCGCGCCCCGACGTGGGGGGGCCGCCCCGGGGCAGCCCCCCCCGCGCGCGCACCCGCGGCCCGC